TTAATATCAATGGATGTCCATTATTAAAAATATTATATTTATACTTATAATTATGTACCTAATTTGTTTTTATGCAGAAAAGTATAATTTAGGTTAGATACATATTTCTTTTATTTGAAAATGTTATTACTATAAATATGAATCAAAAGTGAAAAGATTATAAAGAAAAATGAAAATCCAATATATATCTATATTGAAATTTGTATATTAGAAATGAAGTTACAATGAGTTATTTTCACTCTAGGACAGTTTCAAGTTTCTTATTACATTTTAAGACAGTTATTGTTCTTTAGACACTTTTTTTTAACTAAATGTAACTATAACAATCTTCTAGGTTCCTTCTACTTCTCCTTTTGTTTCTTTTTAAGTAATTTATTTTTTAATTGTTTGATCTTTTACTTTTATTTTTTTTTCATTCACGGTAAGCTATCTTCTTCCTTAACAAAAACTTGAGAATGTATTCTCCTCTGACCTGCAACATCGAAACAACTTATTTTCATTGCGGTCTTCATTTCCTCTGACTAAAACTAAACGATGCTTCTTTTCTGAGTCCCAGAGTAAATCTCCATCAAGCTTTGATGAGTTCGATCCGGCGCATTCATGCCCCATCTCGAAGCTATACTGAAGATCAAGTCGTCCGGGTCGTAACTCTCTTGCCTGTGTTCAAAAACGCGGCAGTGATGGTCGGAAATCAAGGAATAAACACTTAGCGGACATGAACAAAAAACTGTTGGTTATAATTAGTTAAAACTCGATTAAAAAAAAACTTGTTTCATTAATTGTTTTTTTGGTTAATCAAAATGAGATTTGTAAGTTTTTGTGTTAAAATCACAAAGAAAATGATGATTAAGTAAAAAGAAACTGATGGCGGCTTGAATTGAAAGTTGCAGAGTTTTCTATAACCGAAAAGAAAGAAGACAAGTTATTTACAAAATTGACACTCATTAAAGACATGTTACATAGTGGTTGTGGAATTTAACGATGTGTACACTGTTGTAGCATATCATTTTGTACACTGTTGTAACGATATTCGTGTACACCGTTCTAAATGGTATTTGTGTACATCAAAGTAATGATAATTAACTTATCTTCCTGTGTACACTGTTGTAACGATATCCATGTACACCGTCGTACATGTGTAACGGTAAATATGATAGTGTACATATATAAAACAACCAGAAATGAATCAAGCTAATACCTACCATGAATCTAGCATGAAACACACACACAATACATACACTAATTAGAAACTCTTAAACAAGGTGTGAAAGTTGATATATGGGTTCAGTCAGATTTCAAGGATGCCCCGACACTGCATGTACATGGGAAGAAGGAAAAACAATTCACATATACATTGTGTTAACATTATCGTGAGTTCGTGAAGTCGTAGAAGCTTAGTTATTTTGGTTGGAAACCTACAAAAACGCCAAAAATATGGACACACTCACTTTGATGTATAACACGAATTTAGGTGTACACATGTACAATTTAAATGTAATGTACACACGATTGTTGACCAGAAACCCTAATCTCCGCCTCTGGTTTACATGTACATATGTGTTATCTTTGTTTCTTATAGTTACAAATCGTAGAACATACATATACAAAAAACTACTCATATGTACATAGATATTAGATACCGAAATATACACATGTACATCGATGTGTACATACAAAACTACTTATGTGTACATAAACAAAATCTCATGTTGGGTTTGTACACATGCAATCATGTATACATATACATATATAAATTCATGTTGTTTAATTCACGTAAACCCAACATGAGATTTCGTTTATGTACACATGAGTAGTTTTGTATGTACACATCGATGTACATGTGTATATTTTGGTATCTAATATCTATGTACATATGAGTAGTTTATTTGTATATGTATGTTTTACGATTTTTAACGATAAGAAACAAAGATAACACATACATACATGTAAACCAGATGTATATTTATCTAGAGTAAACAGAGGTAACACATAAATATATGGATAACATACTAGTATACACCGGTGTACATGTGAGTCGTTGTACAAGTGGATAACGATATGTCTGTGTACCTTTGAATTGTTGTACATAGTGTAATTGTATGTACAACATGTTATGTACATATGACTTATATTTTTTAATGAAGGGTATTTTCGTAATTTTAGCTTCATCTTCCCCAAAATCAATTAAGGTTTTCTGCAATTTTCCACTATGGCCGCTAGCCATTATTTTCACCTTAATCATTTTTTTTCATTTTCTTGCTTATTATACCTTTAAATCTGTAGAAATATTGTCTAAGATCCAGTTTCATGCTCTAAATGACTTTGTTTTTACAACAAAAACATAGATCTTGCTTCTTATTTTTAGTACTGTCACAACGCTAGGCAGATTAGTTACGAAGCTTGACAGGGAGGAAGAAGCTTGGTCGTGTTAATTCATGGCAAAGGAGAAGACAAACTGCAGTAAAGCTTGGCTGAGGTTCATCGGAGTTACAGATGAGGACCTTGAAGCACGGTGAAAAAGAGCTGTGACATAAATGACATAATGCACCGTTGCAATTCTTCAAAAATTCTGTTTTTATTTTGTGAAATTAGTTAACTGGAAAATAAATGAGATCTGAGAAAGAAGAGAAGATGAAAATTGGGGGTCCTAACAATTATATTCTAATTATACTTTAATTAGTAATGAATAAAATAGGTTAAGAAAAAGTACCCTAGGAGTAGAACATGTCTTATTCTGATATAAAAAACTCAAAATTGCCTTTGAGTGTTAATTTTCCAGTTACAGTAACCTCTTAATAATTGTGATTTCAGCTCTATTACAACATACACTAATACCATTTATTTTTTTATTTTTTTATTATTTATCATAGTTTTGGTCGCCATAAAACTTTAATTAGTAAATTCTATTCATAAATAGTTGTTTAGACAATAAAGATTCAAAAACATGGTCTTCACAACATACATGTTTGTGGTTACAAGAATTAAAGTAGTACTAAAATGAATAATGTATCAATAGTTTCATTACCTATAGATTACATGATAAAAATGTTGATCCAATGTTCTCCCTTAGTTAAACAAATAAGATAATTTACAATTCACATATAGATTCATTAGTATATTTTCTTTTGAAAAAGTGAAATTTTATTATAAAAGTACATTTGCTTCATTGTATGAATTTTTAATAGAGTTTTTTATTTTTATAGAAATATAGAGTAAGCCTATTTTGTCTCTAAATATAGAGACGTAATTTTATTCACTACATTTTCTTTTAAGGTAGAGAAATTCTATATAGTGCATATATTGTCAACGATTCGAGTGCCTTGATTCAACTTTCTAATTTATTGTATTTTACTATAATTCATATTTTTCACGGTTAGATTCAATTTCAAATTTTGGGTTTAGATTTTTTTCTCTACCCCTAAATTCAAAATTGCTAATAACTGTTTCTGCACTATCATTACTGAAACATAGTCGACAAAAAAATATTACTGAAACATAAATACTAACTAAAACTTATGTAAAAAAATAATTTTTATTCCTAAATATGTTTCACTCAATATATGCAAAAATCCAGCGATTACAGATTTTTTCATCTCATTTTTTTATTTTCATGAAATTAAAACATCAATTGATTTCCGTGCAACGCACGTATCCATACCTTGTTCAAGACAACCAAATTTGAAGATGAGAAATTGTGAAATGAGTTTGATTGACGTTTTATGTAAAATTAGTTTCAAGGAATGCTATCTAAGCCCCACGTTTAGTGTATACTGTGTTATCATTAATTTGAACACCATGAACACTACACATAAGACTTAGTTTTTCTTTTGAATTTTTTTTTGTGTTTGTTGATAATTTATGTGCACACTATCTTTATGAATCATAATGACAGTTAAGTATAAAATAATGCTATAGTTTTTTTTTTTGAATTTGGTAGGATGCCTATATTTTTAAGACTTTTTTTTGAACAACTATATTTTTGAGACTATTTTATGATTTACGTCTTATGGACGGATAACTAAATGAGTGAACGATATAAAGATATCTTAAATTTACTATCATTTAAATAAAATCAACATGAGGTTTTATTATTATTATTTTATTTTTGCTAGATATCAAACATTTATTTCATCATTAAAAAAATATTTCATGTGAATTTGGTTGTTTTACAATTATTTAAGAAAAAAATATTGATTATAATGTTAAGTAAACTGACAGTGATTAGGTGTAGAACACAAAATATAGATTAATGTTGACTGAGTTGCAAAACATGTATTATTTCTTAAATGTTTGTTCTCTAGATTCATAGTACTTTTGTTTCTAACTAGTTTATTTGCCGAAAATGGTAGATTAAACAATGTGTAAATGAATTTATTTTAAAATTAAAAGTAATGTTATTTGTTTCTTTGTAATAGAAAATATCTAAAATTAAGTAAACACCACAAAAATCTGATATTGAGTAGTACTTTTCTTTTGTCAGCTGAGTGTTATCATTTAACACGTACACCAATAAATATTTTATATGTTATTGTATTTAATACTAAATAAATATGTTATCCGAATAACCCATTAAGGTTTTAAATAGTAGTGATTATTAAACTATATTTTTCACATTAATTTTCTTATATTTAATTAATTAACTATATATTAGGCAAAGTGTATCATATTTTGCGTTGACCTTATAATACGTTAAAAACAATAAGTAGATATCATTATTCAAGTTCAGCATACAAAACACACACACACCAACAACCCTATCCGAGAAACTAATACCATCAAGCTCGTCGCCCTCGAGTTTCCTAAAAACGATGAAAAAAAAATGAAAGACCGAATCTTTAACACATAGTACGTCATCACCATACCTCAACCACATGACCTACACTCACAAAAAGAGTAAAAATAAGACTCAAAACTCCTCGAAACGTCTGTGGCACTTTCACCATCATCAAATTTAAATATTAGTTATATCATATGCATATAGGTCAAGGGTGAAACCTATATCATTTGCTCACAATTGCTAAAGTCTTCAACTTGTTTAGCTTTCCTTTTGTAGATAGGATGATGGAGTTGCTTTCCTCTCTAAACTTCCTACAAAAATCAACCACAAAGCCCAAGTGTAACTCTGTTGTCCTTCATTGTACTCTGCTCCATAAAAGTAGCAAAACTCATGCACACACCTACAAAGAACACAAAGCGGTATCTCAATGATATAAGAAACCACAAAGCCAAACAATGTATAGATATGAAACGTTCTATGAGTGTATGTCTTACCGGAAATGGCAAATCATGTGGTTGCAGCCTTGAGCATTTAAAAATCATTACACGACATTACTGACACCGACTCCACCTCTTATACCTAGCCAAGTGATGCAATATGATATCATCTTGATATATTTCATGAACCTGAATAATCTGAAACTCTTCACGGCTCATAGATTCACGCCAAGGAGTACCACAGTCCACAAACGCAAACCTCTCAGAGTGGACACTTCACACAACAGCTATTCTCTGTCTGACTACACGAGCCTGAGCCTTAAAGCTTGTTCAAGATCGCATAAAGGAGCAACCTTTAAAGCAAACCCATTTTATTTAAACGAATAGAAAACAAAGAGAGTCTAGAACAGTTGTAAAAAGGCAGTCTAGAACACACCTGCTGCTTAGATAGCTTCTTCAAAGTTTTCTCCTTGATATCAAGCAGTACACAATACTTCATCGTAATCAGAAACCTATGACCATGGAAACACAAAGTTAGTAAAGCATTCATCCTTTTATCTAATCACTCGTCAAATCACAAATCAAGCACCATTCAAAATGAAATAAAGGCAAGGGTTACAGGTTCTTTTCTGAGTTTAAAAAGATTTTTATTTAAACATCACTAATCTAAATGTGAGCTAGAAATAAAACTCACAGAGACGAAACCTAACCCAAGAAGCGTATAAATTACAATCAGGTCATTCCTCTCCTTCAGATTAAGTCAATCTCTTGCAGTTTAAAAGTGCAGAATCACATACATAATTTATTTAACGAAAATAACAAATTATCAAGGCTTGTATTGTAACCTGAGGCTGGGTAATAAAGATAAAGTCGTTTAGTACAGTATTGGTGAATTTGTGAAAGGCTCAGCTCTGGCGTAACCCTTCAACAATGTAAATGTCAATGATAAGTATTAAGATTTTTTGGATTGGCAGCAGAAAGGCCTAAGCCCAAGTCCGAGTGGGGTTGTCAGTTTGTATAAACTATAAGCTGTGACATAAACAAACTTCTGGTAAATCTGTTGCCACAGAGCATTAAAAATGAGAAACACATCAGATGTGTTTGAGAGAAAGGAAGATGTCATGTAAATATATGAATTAGGTGTTTGTTTCCAAGAAAACCAAGAATATGAGACATGAGAAAAAATACCTGTTATTTTTTTGGCTTGGGACTTGGTAACTTTAGCTGAAAAACCTTGAGAAGCCATGTCCATAACTGTACATCACTGAATTATGAGCATTCCTTTTACTCTAATCATGGGAAACAAAAAAAAACGCATGAATCTAAGTAACAGTCGAGACATTGATATAAACTTGGGAAAGAGAAACAATTCTTACATATCCTCCAGGAAGTGATGAGATTCTGTGACAAACTCGAGATCATCATGTTCTTCTTACTGAAATACACTATATGAACCTATTATGGTTTATGACAACAGAACGATCTATGAGAGTTACGAAAGTGAAAGAAGATCAAGGAGAAGAAGACTTACGTAAAAGAAGACTTACCAAATTTGTTAGTCTATTGGTGTCTAGCCATGTCTTCACTCTTACCGCACGTCTCCGGTGACCCCTAAAGATGGTGACTCGCTTACAACTCGTTTCAAGATCTTCTCGTTACGCCACCGTGAAGTTTGTTGGAATAGATTCCGAGAATATAGGAGTATACTTGATTTGTTAGACTTATTCCTCCGTAAGCTTTGGTGTGTTTAAGTTGTTAAGATACGTAGTTGAGATAATATCTCTGTTTGAGTTGTATATATATGGATGTAACTATTTGAAAGTGATATACAGAAAAGCTTCGACAATTTCTATTTCTCTGTTCCATTACATGGTATCAGAGCACTGATTTTTTTTTCTGATCTCTGAAACGAAACTTAATTGACGATGTCTGAATCAAACACGGCCGATTCACCGGCACCGACGGTCTTGAGGAGGAAGATCTCACCGTACGACTTGAGCTCTTCGGAAAATCCTAGAGCTGTGATTTCACACCCTTTGTCGAAAGGAATGAACTATGATGAATGAGCTTGCGGGATTAAGACGGCGTTGTGTTCTCGTAAGAAGTTTGGGTTTCTTGATGGATCGATCAAGCGACCAGAAGAGGAATCTGCTGACTTGGAGGATTGGTGGACTATCCATGCGCTCCTTGTGTCTTGGATTAAGATGACTATAGAACCAAATCTGCGATCAAACATCTCTCACAGAGATGTGGCTCAGGACTTGTGGGAGCATCTCAAACCTCGGTTTTCGGTGCTGAATGGACCAGGTATCCAACAGATCAAGGAAGAGCTGGCGTGTTGCAAACAAAGGGGTCTTGCGATTGAGTCATACTTTGGTAAGCTCAACCGTATTTGGGATAGCTTGGCGAACTATCGTCCTCTTCGAATCTGCAAGTGTGGGAATTGTACTTGCGATCTTACAACACTTCAAGAGAAAGACAGAGAAGAAGACAAAGTTCATCAATTTCTGTATGGACTTGATGATGAGTATTTTCGAACAGTTCGATCATCTCTTGTGTCTCGTACACCGCTTCAGCCCATGGAAGAAGTGTATAACATCGTGAGACAAGAGGAGGACTTGAGAACTGTGAACAAGATGGAGGAAGAAGCCCCCATAAATGCTGTGACGGCCTTTGCTGTTCATACTAAGGGACGTGGCCGGGTTGATGAAGCAAACACGACAGCGTTTTGCAAGCACTGTAATCTGGCAGGACATTCATCTGAAAGCTGTTTTGCGGTCATTAAAAATCCAGAATGGTGGGGTGATAGGCCACGAGCAAGAACGCTGCAAGGAAGACGTGGTGGTTCTTCTTCCAACGGAACAGGAAGGGAACACGGTTCGATGGCTCATGCTAATGATAATGCTGTACATGTTGGTGCAACACAACAAGCAAATTACGTCATTACTGACAAGGATCACGGCGGTCTTGCAGGCTTGAGTGATGTTCAGTGGAGGAATATCATGAACATACTTAATGCCAATGTTGGCAAAGGTCAAGTCAACAACACTGAAAATTTGACGGGTAAGTCTTCTACTCCTTCTTGGATCTTGGATACTAGTGCTACCCATCTTTTGACTGGTAAACTTGAGATTTTGAAAGACTTACGTGAAATGGAACCTGTCCTAATCGTCTTAGCTGATGGACGAGAAAGGATTTCAGTAGTAGAAGGAAAAGTCAGAATTGGAGAGGGTCTTGTTTTGAACTCTGTTTTCTATGTTGAAGAAATGCCTTCTGATTTGATTTCTGTTGGTCAGCTGATGGATGAAAATAGATGTGTTGTTCAGTTGGCTGATCAGTTCTTGATTGTCCAAGACCGAATCTCGAGGATGGTGATTGGAGCGGCTAAAAGGGAGAATGGAGCATTCCGCTTGCGCAGTATGGACATCGCGGCTGCAGCTATCACAAAGGATGAAGAGTCTTTTGAGTTGTGGCACAAACGGATGGGACACCCTGTTGCTAAAGTTGTTTGCTCACTTCCTGTTGTTTCTAGTTCATTTAGTTCTGTTTCTATGAATAAGGCGTGTGATGTTTGTCTCCGCGCTAAGCAAACAAGATCTTGTTTTCCAGACAGTATCAATAAAACTTTGAAATCTTTTGAGATGATACATACCGATCTATGGGGTCCTTATAGGACATAATCAATGTCTGGAGCTAGATACTTTCTAACTCTAGTGGATGACTTCTCACGTGGTGTGTGGGTTTATCTCTTGAAAGACAAAACAGAGGCTCCACCACACTTGAAAAACTTATTGGCGATGTTAAAAACACAATTTCAGGCGACAGTGAGAACTATACGCAGTGATAATGGCTCAGAATTCTTGTGTTTAAAGGACTACTTCTTGCGGCTAGGTATCATACATGAGACCTCATGTGTAGGAACTCCACAACAGAATGGAAAAGTTGAAAGGAAGCACCGCCATATCTTGAATGTTGCAAGGGCTTTAAGATTGAAGCAAAACTTCCTATAGACTTCTGGGGAAAAATTATTCTTGCTGCTGGATACTTGATAAACCGAACACCTAGTTCTGTTCTTGGTGGTGTTACTCCATATGAAAAGATCCACAACAAACAACCTTGTTATAAGCATCTAAGAGTCTTTGGTAGTCTCTGCTACGCTCACAATCAAGACACCAAAGGAGATAAATTTGAGCAAAGAAGTAGAAAATGTGTGTTTATGGGTTATCCCTATGGAAAGAAGGGCTGGAGATTATTTGATCTGTAGAAGCAAGAATTCTGCGTTTCTAGGGATGTGATTTTCTACGAGAATGAGTTTCCATTTGCGCAGGTGTCGCAGGAAGAAAGCACAGAATCAGAAATTCCAAAGTTATGGGAACAGATCTCTGATTATAATGAAGAAGATGATATTCAACACGTGAAACAGAGAGTAACTACTGCTATGGGCCCTGGAGTAAGGTCAAGCCCATCTACTAATCAGTCTGATCAATTAAATAACAGGCCCACAAGTGGTACAACAACAACCTTGGCCCAACCAAATACGATTGCTTCTTCATCGACGCCTCTGGTTTCTACAGTTGTCACCACCGAAACTGAAACGAGCATCCCGGTGCCAGAACTTGGAAGAGGACACCGGAAACGTAATCCACCAGCCAAATTGAAGAACTATGTCACCAGTTCGGCTCAGAATCGAATACTCTCAACCACGACGAAAGGAAGTACGGAGTTACTTTACCCGATCTCAAAGTACATATCCTATGGTCGTTTCTCTGCAAGACATACAGCTTACCAGGTCTCTACGGGTAAGATAACTCCACCAAAATCTTATAAACAAGTGGTACAAGATGAACGGTTTCAGAATGCAATGGGTACTGAAGTGGCTGCGTTGGAAGGAAGTAAAACATGGGATGTTGTTGATTTGCCTCCAGGAAAAAGGGCAATCGGAAGCAAATGGGTCTACATAGTGAAGTACAGATCAGATGGTATGATAGAACGATTTAAAGCTCGATTGGTAGCTCTTGGAAATAAACAAGTAGAAGGAATCGATTATAAGGAAACTTTCGCACCCGTTGCAAAGATGGGGACGGTGCGACTTTTTCTAGATGTAGCGACTAAGAAGGGTTGGGATGTGCATCAAATGGATGTACATAACGCATTTTTGCATGGAGATCTCACTGAAGAAGTGTACATGAAGTTGCCACCAGGTTTCAATTCAAGTGACCCCAACAAGTTTTGCCGGCTAAGGAAATCGTTGTATGGGCTTCGTCAAGCACCAAGATGTTGGTTTGCAAAACTGTTGACAGCTCTTAAGAATTACGGATTCAAGCAGTGCCTCTCTGACTATTCTTTGTTTACGTATACAAAAGGTACGACTCAAATTCAGATTCTTATTTACGTGGATGATTTAATTATCACTGGGAATCAACCTGCGGCTGTAGAGTTTTTCAAAACATATCTGGCATCTTGCTTTAAAATGAAGGACTTGGGTCTGTTGAAGTATTT